CTTTTCTATCTATACTGTTGAACTGTTCTCCATGAGACTAGTTTTATTGTAATTTGAACTTTGATTTTTTTTTTCCTGTACTGGAGACTGAACCCAGGGCTTCATGCATGCTAGGTAAGCTCTACCACCCCAAACCCTGTAATACTGTATTAATTTTAGAAGGTGTCACATATTATTTACATAAGTATATGCATACTTATATAGAAAATATAAAAGGCATAAATCTCATAAAGTCTCTTCTTTAGGAATTTTCTTTTTTCTTTCAACTTGCTAAATGAGGCGGGGAACCACCTGCCACTCACACTTAAAAACAAATTTTTAAGAATTTTTTTGTTTTTTTGGAGGGGGTATTTTGTTGGTTTTTTTGTTTTGGGGGGTTTTGTTTTATTTTGGTATAGGTTCTGTTTTTGTTTTTGAGGCAAGCTCTCATTTTTGTTTTTGAGGTAGCTCAGACTGGCGATTTTATGAAGCTGAGTCTGAGCAGGTCTTTAACTCCTGATCCTCCTGATTCAGTCTCCCAACTGCTTGGATTATAGGACCAATTGTAAGGAATTTTAAATTTAACCTCTAGTAGCCAACACAAGTTCTGACTCCTCTATTCAAGAATTTAGATGGTTAAGTAACACACTTATGCTTGAAGAAATACAAAATGTATTTATCCCAAAGTTTAAAATATAGGGAACAGCTGGGCCTGGTAGCATAGGCCTCTAATACTGGGGCTGAAGCAGGAGGATCAAAAATTCAAGGCCTGGGGCTAGAGAGCACAGAGGTTAAGAGCATTAGGTGCTCTTGCAGAGGCCCCAGATTCAGATCCCAGAACCCACATGGTGGTTAACAACCATCCATAACTCCATTTCCGGGGGATCCGATATCTCTGTGGTCTCCACAGGTATTGTACGCACAGGTGCACTTACATGCATGCAGCAAAACACTCATACATAAAAAATATATAGAATTTTTTTTAAAAATTCAGGCCTGCCTGGGCTACAGAGCAAGTTCAAGGTTAGCTTGGGCAATTTAGTGAGATACTGTCTCAAATTTTACAAAGTAAAGAGGTACCAGGGCTGTAGCTTAGTTAGTATAGTGTTTATTAACATGCATGAGGCCCTGGGTTCAATTCCCAAGCACTACTAAATAAATTAGTAGCCAAAAGATGGCATTCCTTAAGACAATTCCAATTTTTTTTATGGAGGTTGGTGCGACAGCTCCAGCTTTCCATGCAAGCCTGACAGCCTCAGCGCAAACCCAAAGCTCATGGTGAAAAGGGGGAACTAATTTCCACAAGTTGTCCTCTGACCTCAGCATGCATTCTATGGCACACATACCACACCACATACACAATAATAATAATAATAATAAATAAAATTAAGGGGGGAATGGGGCTGGCTGGAGGGGTGGCTCAGCAGTTAAGAGCACTGGCTGTTCTTACAGAGGACCCGGGTTTGAATCCCAGCACCCACATGGCAGCCAGCAACACCCCCATAACTCCAGATCCATGAGATCTGACACCCTCTTCTGACTTCTATGGGCACTGCACAACACGGGTGCACTTACAGCATGCAGGCAATATACTCATACACATAAAATAATAAAAATAAAAAATTTTTTTAATTAAGGGGGAAAAAAATTATGAATACTAATAGGCATAAATCCCTCCTCACACTACAAGATCTTTTTGACTTAACCAGCAAGAGAAGGTGCTGGGTCTTTTCCTTCTCACATTTCTCTCCTCCTATACCGTATGTGGAAGAAGACAGACTGCACTCTGGAATTATATACCAATCAACTCATCATCTCTGGGTACCTAGGTACTGGTTCAAAAATAATTTAGGAACTATGAAAATGAGGATTTTAGTATTATTCGTCAAATGCCAGACAGGTAAATATTTTTTGAAGAACATTATTTATTATCCCTTCAAAAGCAGTAACATAGGAAAAGACAGCTTACGAAAGAGAAAACAGAAAAGGTAAACAATTTACTTATGCAAAATAGATCATTTCATGCACAAAAACGTAGCACATACCCTACTATACCTACTATATAGCAGTGACTAGATATTTCAGAAATTTCAGTTCTGAAAGGACCACAAACACAAAATTTTCCTTCTCCACAGGTTAAGACTCTACATATACATTGCACTAAAAGAAAAGAAAAAAACCTGAATCTCAGAAACCTGAATTCCAAAAATAAGGTTTTGTTTTGTTGTTAAAAGGAGAAGGAAGGAAGGAAGGAAGGAAGGAAGGAAGGAAGGAAGGAAGGAAGGAAGGAAGGAAGGAAGGAAGGAAGGGCCAGTCAGGCATGCTCATACAGGAGGACTGCCTATCACATACAAGGCCAGCCTGAGCTACACTGTCATTCTGTGTTCCAGACCAACTGGATTATAGTCAGACCCTGTCTAAAAAAATAAATAGCCTGGCATGGTGGCACATGCCTGTAGTCCCAGCACTTGGGAGGCAGAGGCAGGTGGATCTCTGTGAGTTCAAGGCCAGCCTGGTCTACATAGTGAGTTCCAGGACAGCTCGGGCTACAGGGAGACCCTGTCTCAAAAAGATAAATAAATAAATAAATAAACAAACAAACAAAATCTACATATACAGTTAATACCTAAATATGTGTTTGGGGACAGAAAATACAAGTAAATGGAAGAATAAGAATAGGTACCTTTACACCATTAGCCATGACTAAATGGGTGTAAATGAATGCATGACTTCTACAATACACTTCTTTTTATTTTTTGTGGCAGGGCTCACTATGTAATCCTGGCTGGTCTAGAACTCACAGAGATCTGCCTGTCTCTGCCTCCTGAAGGCTGGGATTAAGGTGTGCACCACCATCCCCAGTTTACAATATTTTTTTTAATCATGCATGGCTTACAACTAAAAAAAAAATTTTTTAATTTTATTGATTTTTATTTTATGTGTATGCGTGTTATGCCTGCATGTAGATAAGTGCACCCATGTCGTGCAATGCCCACAGAGGACAGAAGAGGCTGTTGGAGCCCCTTGGAACTGGAGCTACAGACAGTTGTTAGCTGCCCTGTGGGTGCTAGGGGTTGAGCCCGGGTCTTCTGCAAGAACAGTCAGTGTTCTTAACTGCTAAGTCATCTCTCCAGCCCTAAAAATTTTTTTAAGTATGAAAAAGTATGGATTGTACCCACAGCTTTAACACAACATGATACAGTAGCTCCAAATGAAATGTGTGTGTGACAGAGAGAGACAGACTGAGACCGATTAAACTTTGGAGGTTCACTAACACTTTACCTCTGAAGAAATTTAAACACTACCCATATAAAAGCAAATTGGTAACCTCTAATCTCATCCATGCCAATTATGTAAAAGTGGCCAAGAAAAAAAAAAAATTCAAGGAGAGTCCACCACATTTAGAACAAAGGCAACCTTTTCAGATTCTCCCTTACAAGTTCCAAAGAAAAATAAACTCAGACCTTTAGAATCTAAAGGTAACCCCCACTTCATTTCCTAGCTAAACATCCATGTGTTCTAGATTTGGCTCTCATTTCACTCAAAGGATAAAAGATCTTCCACCAGCCCAAGAGAGGGAGCTACAGACTCTCCCAATAACTGCTTAATCAAGTAAAATCTTTGTCTCACCTTGGCATAGAAGTTATTTTCTTACAGTGAAATTCAAAGATATGAACAGATAACCTATACAGTGATTTTCCAAAGCAAAATGTTAAATCCAAAGAAACTCCTGTTCAGGCCTAAGAAGATAAGGTAGTGCACTAACTGAATTCTGCAATCCACTAATAATTTCTCCTTGCTCCTCTCAAAAGCACAAGCCAGGATCATTGGTACACACAGAGAAATTCCTGTACTTTAACACCACGACCAGAGGTTAAAGTAATTAATTGGTCACAAGGGATGAACCAGGCATGTTAGAACCAAAGAGTCAGGCATGGTAGTGCATCCCTGTAATCTCAACACTCAGGAGACTGAGATAGGAGGATCACAGCCAGTTGATGGCCAGCCTGGCCTACACAGCAAATTTCAGGGTAAAATTAATAATTAAGTAATAACAGTCAATAAACCATTGCCATTTTTTTAAAAAGAAAATACTCTCAGCATTTACAGTGTCACACTACAGTACTCTATCCTGTCAGAGAGAAAACAGTATGTGTACTTGCAAATGCATATGTATGCGAGTGTATGTAATTTATGTGTCTATCTTTACGTATGTGTCACTTTTTTCCCTAGACACCAAAGGACGATGTCGTCTATTATCCTCGGTTGCTCAGGCCTGAAAATATGTACACAACAGTTATACACGTGTCAAAAGAACTCCATTTTCTTTGCAACAAAAGAAAAAGTGCCTGTAGGATGCCTCACCTTCTCTCAGCCTAAAAACCTCAGCATCCAGCTATCCCAAGCTCAAAGATGCATTGGAACTTCCTTTTCCTGTCTAACTTCAAGCGCACAAAAAATGGCCCAGGATCTAGTCACGTGATATTCCAGGGTAAAAGCTGAGAACTCCTCACTACTCACCTGTCTCAAACTAAAGAGAGAATATGAGTTCTACTTAAATACACAAGCAAGACACACGTAGGAAGGCAAAGGCAAATAAATGCAGCCTTAAACTTTGGCGACAGGCGTACGGTAGAAATGCTTTTTGAGCTAGCTGAGTCTGACAGTCTGTTTCTCAAGCTCCCTCAGTACCAAGGGCAGGGACTGGCTGGCAAGACCCCGCCCTCCCCCATCTCCACAGCCGGGGTGGGCGGGAGGTAGCCGGAGGAGTCCCGGTTCCCGCGCGAAGCTCGGAGACCAAAGAACTCCCTATTGTGGGTCTACAGCCGAAGACGGGAACCTGTCCCGCTCCAAACGCGCGCTCAGGAACTAGGAACTAGGCCCGCACCGCTGCCACGGTCGTCGTGCAAGCCACTGCTGTCAAAGCACACTACGCCGGCGAAGCCGGATGGTGGACCCAACTCTGAGGCCGGCCCCAAGAATTCACGCAACGTGGGAAGACAGGGGTCCAGGAGCTCTACCTCGGACACCTCGTCCTCGTCGCTTCCAGAAGCACCACCTCCACCGCCGGTCCTCAGCACGGCAGCCGCCAACTTGAAATCCAGCGTCGCGTCCCCTCCGCCTGCGCTACCGCTGCCGCCACCACCGACTCCCGGCGCGGGCCCGGCCTCCCCAAAGAGCCTCACGGTGCGGATCCCCAGCCCGACCCCTCCTGGCGGAGGCGGCTCCGAGGCCCCAGCTGGGGAGGATCGCGGAACTACAGAGTCCAGATCTTCCTCCAAGGAGGTGCCGCCGCCCCCGCTGTCCGTCAGCATGGTTCGCACTCAGAGCCGGAGACACTGCCGAGTCACTCGCGGCCACTGCCGCGGCTGATCCCGGGAAGAAGAGGAGCAGCAGGAGGAAGAAGCGTCTCCTTCCCCCCGTCCCAGCAGCGCCACTAACTTCTCACTGCCTAACCTGCTGCCTCCCTCCCCTGAGCTCATCACTGGTTGCAACTCCCTGGCGCCTGCAAATCATTGGCCAAAATCACCTGTCGCTCACGCTCTCCGTCACGCGCTGCTCGCTGGCTCCTGGCCCCCAAGCTGCGTTGACCCGCGCAGGCCTAGGCTGTTGTGAACACCCGCCTCCCACTCCGCCCGAGCCGACTTCCGGTCCTCTTCTCTGTCTATTGGTCGACCTCTGTGGCTGTCGCACCACGACCTTAAAGTGGATTAGTTGGCCTTGCGGTCACTCATAATGACCCCGACAAAGGGAAACTCGATTGGAGCCATATAGGGTTGGTCATTTAGTCACAGGACGTCGCGCGGTCCAATTGGCCTGTGGGGATACTGTTCATCCCGCCCCCATCTGAGGTGACGGGAAAGGGCTGGGGAATTTCCACTTCTGATTAAAAGAACAGCCGAGCCGAGAACACACAAGAACTAATAAAATAGGGAGTAGACCTAAACCTGCGCCCGGAGAGTCTGGTATGACGAAGATGCAGGAGGCGCCACTGTAACGGAGCTCCCACCTGTCGCTCTCCCCGAGGCGCCGCGGCTATGGCCGGAAGTGGCTGCCTGGGGATTGGAGGAAAGAAGCGGTCAGTCTCGGTGAGGCCCCACCTTTTTGCCCTTGCCTGGTTGGAGGATGGCCACGTCAGTCACTAGAGCAGGCTCCGCCTCTGGGACAGGTGAGGCTACTTAACCCGTTTGCCTCTGGCAGTTTGGGCTGGAGTAGTGGTCTGGTCGAGGGTCGGGAGCCGTGCTGGGCAGCTACTGGTTAGCGCTGTCCAGGCTGAACCCGGCGCGCAGAGCTTAGGCTCCCTGGAAGCAGCTCTGGATGGCCGCCCCGCGGCATCTCCACCCGCCCATGTGCCAGATCGCCGATGGGCGCGGCGGCTCTACAGCCTTCGGGAAGGATGGCCCCGCGGGGCCGCGATCTCTCGTGGAAGGCGGCCGGCCCGGGCTGGACAGCGCCGTCTCTCGGTACCCTACACTGTCCCGCGAAGGAAGATGGACTGTGCTTGGAATCCGACCGCAGAGCTAACCGCCGCTGAGAGGGCGTGCTGGGGGCTGGTTCGGGTCTACTGCCACCGCTTAATTTGTTGAGTGACCTTGGAGCGTTTGATGTTAACTCTCTGTAAAATGGGAATATTATTATCACCTTCTTCACTGGGTGTTTATTATGAATGCATTGGTAGCATAGAGAGCTTAGTACAGTGCTAAACTTATAGGAGAGACTCGTTTTTTCTTAGTTACTGCTTTCTCTAGGTTCAGAAGGTCTCTGTCCGTCTGGGGTTCTGATTCTAAGCAGATCCTAGATTACTAGACAAGGAGATCCTCTCCCTTTAACGATAATCAATCTCTCTTCCCCTCTTCCCTTTCCCTCTTTTGCTCTCCTCCCCCGTCCTCTCTCCCTCCCTCCCTACCCCCGCCCCTTATCAATAAAAAAGCTTAAAAGTGTTCAGGTTCCTCCACTAATTCATGGTCCATGATCACAAGAAATGAGTTTGGCAAGGTTTGTATGGTAGATGTCCTTTAACATAGAGAATGTACAAGTAGCAGGTTGGCTAAAAACAAAAGACTTGTCATGTTCTCCTTTAGAGCTTTTACAAAGAGCTATGTGTATCTTGGTTGTGCAATATTAAATATTTCACTTCCATTAAACTATGATCTGAAAATTCTATTAAAAAAGACAATGATTTTTTTTTTTAAGCTGGGCGTGATGAGGCATGCCTGTAATACCAGTACTTGGTACTTTGAATTTTGAAAATTGTTAAAATTTCTTTGGTTTGGTAATTGCTCATTTTGCCATTTCATATGCAAAGAAAGTGTTTCCTAGGATCAGGACATATTAAGTAAATGAACTTTCTAGATAATAAGCCCTAGAAATGGGAAGAAAATCTTATTCTGCAGAACTATTTGATGTAAACAGTGTATGGTTTTTGTTTTGTTGGGTTTTTTGTTTGTTTGGTTTTTTTTGGTGGGGGGGGTTTGGTCTTTTTGAGACAGGGTCTCCCTGTAGCCCCAGCTGTCCTGGAACTCACTACATAGACCAGGCTGGCCTTGAACTCACAGAGATCCTCTGCCTGCCTCTGCCTCCCGAGTGCTGGGATCAAAGGCATGCGCTACCACGTCCAGCTAACAGTATATAGTTTTAATTAACCCATATCCTCCTCTGTTTAAGTTTTCAAGGCATGTGTGACTAGCTCACAACCCAAACTATGCAACTAAGCAAGGGGAAAAAAGAAAGCACTGCCCAACCCACTTCAAAGCTGGATAATCCAGAATTGGTATGGATACATCCTTAGGCAAAAACAGGTATTGACTGGTGCAGCATTACAAAAGAACTACTTGTCATTCCTATCACTAATACAAAAATAATTTCTGATGCAACTCCCTGAACAAACACATTAAAGTCTTTAAACAAATGTAATAACCCTGAGGGACAGAGAGAAATGAAACCTGGGCATATTCATTTTCCCCACACATTTGAGAAATACACACTCTTGACTTAGTGCCTATTTTTATTAGTGTATGGTGCGCATGATGTGTATGTGTGGTCACTCGTGCCACAGCATTTGGAGGTCAGAGAACAACTTTGTGGAGTCTATTTTCTTTTTCCATCTTTACATAGGTTCCAAAAATCAAATTTTACCCACTGAGCTGTCTTGCTAGCACCTGATATTTGTTGGGGTTTTTTTGTTTTTGGTTTTTTTTCTTTTAGAGTCTCACTATGTAATCCTGACTGTCCTGGAACTCACTACGTAGATCAGGCTGGCCTGAACTCCCAGAGATCCACCTGCCCTCTGTCTCCCAAGCACTGGAATTAAAGGCATGTGCCATCAAGCCTGGCTTTGATTTTTGTTGTTTTGAGGCAGGGGCCCATAGAGCCCAAGCTTGCCTCAAGCTTGTGATGTAGTAGAAACTGGCCTTAAATTCCTGTCCTTCTCCCTCTACCTCCCACACCTGGCTCATTTTTTGTTTTGCTTGTTTGTTTGCTTTTTTTTTAAGATTTATCTATGTATATGCATGTGTAACAGATGCATGCCTGGTGTCCTCAGAGACCAGAAGAGGGCACTGGATCCCCTGGAATTGGTGTTACAGGTGTTGTTAGCTGCCATTGGGTGCTGGGAACTGAATCCTGCTCCTCTACAAGAGCAGCCAGTGCTCTTAACTGCTGAGCCATCTCTCTAGCCTGTTTTTAAGACAAGGTCTCTCTGTGTCCCAGACTAGCTGTGTGTGTGTGTGTGTGTGTGTGTGTGTGTGTGTGTGTGTGTTGGATGCAGAGGTACATGCCTGGAATTCCACCATTTAGGAAACTTGAGGCAGGCGAATTGAGAGTTCAAGGCCAGTCTGCACTATATAACAAGACCCTTTCTCAATCGGTCAATATTTATTAGAAATGAGCACTAGAATAAAATTTATCCCACAGAAAACCAACCAGAACATTACTTAGCATATTTGTCCTCATTTACCTTATATTTTTAAGGGGCTGAGGATCCAACACAGGACCTCACATATACTAGGCCGGCTCTCTGCCACTGAGCTACATCCCTGGTGATACTGTGGTGTGTCTGTAATGTGTTTCAAAGCATGCACTTCCTTTTTACTATCTTTTAGACAGGCAAGGAAAAGGAAATAGAGGAAGCTCTATAGCTTAAAAATTCCTAAAACTTCTTAGATAATAGGAGCTTATTATAATAATATGATATTATTGTTCATTTTTATTAAAAACAAAAACAGGAGAGCATGAATAAAATCACAAATTAATGCAGTCGCATTTTCTGCATTTAGGAAAATCACAGAGGTAGCACATCAGAGTGCAATAGATAAGCCTCTCCCTGGGAAAACCACCTTCCTGATCATAGTATCTCCCCTACCAGCTAAGTAGATAATATAAGTTTGAAACACTTGAGTCATAGATACAGGGACTATACATATAGTTTTTTGATATATAACCTGAATTTTCTTAAAACATTGAATTTTTGCATCCCAGTCCATCATAGTTCAGCCCAGTCTGTCATAGTTCAGCCCATCTATATAAAGAATGAAGTAAACCAACAAATTTGTTGCTATTCTGGAGGCTGAAGAGATGGCTCAGTGGTTAGGAGCACTGGGTGCTCTTGCAGAGGACCCAGGTTCAATTCCCAGCACCCACATGGTGGCTAACAACCATCTGTAACTTCAGTTCCTGGGTATCTGATGCCCTTTTCTGATCTCTATGGGCACTGCATGTCATGGGTGCACTTACACATATCAGGCAATACACTCATATGCATACAATAAAAATAATAAACTATAAAAAAATTATTATTCTGAAGAGAGACTGGGGAGATGGCTCAATGGGTACAGTGATTGCTATGCAAGCATGAGGACATGAGTTTGGATCCCCAACACCCACATAAAAGCCTGATGTGGCCATGTGCATCTGCAATCTAGTACTAGGGGAATGTGAAGATAAGCAGATCCTTGGGGGCTCATTGGCCAGCCAATGAGCCAAACCAGCAAGTTCTAGGTTCAGTGAGAGACCTTGTCTTAAAAATTAAGGTGACTTGGCAGGTTGAGGCAGGCCGATCTCTGAGTTCAAGGCCAGCCTGGTCTACAAAGCAAATTCTAGGCCAACCAGGGCTACATAGTAAGACCTGTCTCAAAAACAAAAACAAAAAGGTGAAGAGCAACAGAGGAAGACATCTGATGTTGACCTCTGACCTCCACACATGCATGCACAAGTGAACACGCACAACAACACATTCACACAGGCATATACTACAGAGAGGAGAGAGAGAGAGAGAGAGAGAGAGAGAGAGAGAGAGAGAGGAGAGGGAGAGAGTTAGTTAACGAAGGGGCTGGAGAGTTATCTCAGTTGATACAGCACATTGAGGGTCTGAGTTTGGTCCCCAGAATATAGGTAAAAGTCAAGTGGTTGAACATTCTTGTAATCCCAGTGCTGCGGAGTTGGGAAAAGGTAGATCCCTGAATTTCACTGGACAGCCAACCTTGCCTGCTCAGTGAATTCCAGGTCAATAACAGACCTTATCTCAAAAAACCAGAGGGAGTAGGGGAGCTGGAGAGATGGCTCATCAGTTAAGTGTGCATACTGCTCTTGCAAAGGATCTGAGTTTAGTTCCCAGCACCCATGTTGAACAGCTCATAACCACCTGTAAGTCCAGCTCCAGGGAGAGTTGATGCCTGTGGCAACCACTGGCACCTGCACTCATGTGCACATACCCTGCCCCCATCACTTATACACATAATTTAAAATAAATCTTAAGGGGCTGGAGAGATGGCTCAGCGGTTAAGAGCACTGGTTCAATTCCCAGTACCCACATGGGGGCTAACAACTGTAACTCCAGTTCCAGGGAATCCAACGCCCTCTTCTGTCTTCCAAGGGCATTGCACAACATGGGTGCACTTACATACATGTAGGCAAGACACTCATACAAAGAAAATTAAAATAGTAAATAAAATATTTTTAAAAAATAAATCTTAAACCAACAACAACAACAAAAAAAAAAAAAAACTAAGGTGGGAGCCAGTGAGACAGGTCAGGTGGTAAAAGCACTTGCCACCAAGCCTGACAACCTGAGTTTAACCCAAGTTACCAGTTATTACTAGTGAACAGGGTCAGGGTTGGGTGTTTCCAGGTTCTTGGCCTCTTATCCAAAGAACTGAAAAATAAAGGCTCACA